GGGCGTCTGCCTTGCACGCAGCCAACATGCCCGACCCGAGTTCGATTCCTCCGCCCCTCTCAGAGAGCCTGGCAAGCTACCGAGAGTATTCGATATGCCAGACACAGTAACAACAAAGTCTCCAATGGAGACGTTACTGGGCCCGCTCGAGCAAATCGATGATCAACGGGAGGGCCTTTACTCTCACATAAGTAAAAGGAAAGATAAAAATCATATGATCATAGCAATTAAGGCAGAGAAATCTTTTGACAAGATCCAACATCCATTTATGAGAAAAATCCTCAACAAAAATAGGAATGAAATTAACCTTCCTGAAGATAATAAAAGCTATCTATAACAATTCACAGCAAATATTATTGTTAATGGTGAAAAACTAAGAGCAGTCCCATTGAGATCAGGTACAAGGCAAGGTTGTCCAATATTTCTTCTCTTATTAACAATGTATTAGATGCCCTAGCAACAATAATCAAGAAAGAAAAGAAAATCACAGGGGGTCAAAATTGAAACACTTCAGTGCCACCCTCGAGAACATCATGCGACGACTGGAATGGAAAAAAATGGGAGTGAAGAGGCATGGTCGGCAACTACACCACCTCTGCTTTGCTGATGACATTGTTCTAATAACACCAAACATTAGCCAAGTGGCACAAATGCTGGCCGACTTTGACCATGAGTGTGGAAAGGTCGGACTACAGCTGAATCTTATGAAGACAATGTTTATGAGAAACAGTCTTGTTCCTGACGCTCAATTCGCTCTCAATGGAACGACCATCTCCGAATGCAACAGTTATGTGTACCTAGGCCGAGAAGTCAACATGATGAATGACCTAGTACCTGAGTTGCGCAGGAGAAAGAGAGCGGCTTGGAACGCCTTCAAGAGTGTCAAAGAAATAGCTAAGAGGACAAGAACCTTTGGCTCCGGGCACATCTCTTTGATTCCACTGTTCTTCCTGCATTAACATACGCCTCAGAGACCTGGGCCCTACACAAACAGGATGAGAATGCTATTTGGGTCTCCCAAAGAGGAATTGAAAGAGCTATGCTTGGAGTATCACATTTCACTCAAATGAGAGAAAGAATCCAGAGTTCTGACCTCCCTCAAAGATCAAGAATCAGGGATGCTGTCTTGTTTGCCAAGGCATCAAAAATCAGATGGGCTGGACACGTAATGAGATTTAGAGACGACCACTGGACTAGAGCCGTTACCGACTGGATTCCACGGGATGTCAAAAGACCACGTGGCTGCCCACCTACCAGATGGTCAGACTTCTTCGTCAAGATCATGGACGATCGGTTTGAGGCTCTTCATGTTCCTAGAATGAACAGACACCACTGGGCTACACTAGCATGTGGCAGGGACAAATGGAGATGTTACTGGCACCCGCTCGAGCAAATCAACGATTAATGGGAAGTCAAGTGATCAAGTGATCAAAATTGAAAAAGAAGAAATTAAATATATTTGAGATGACTGAAAGCATCCACAAAGAAAAAGACCTTCTAGAAACAATAAACCAATACATCAAAGTGGCTGGCCACAAAATCTATACACAAAAATCAGTCACATTTTTACATATTCTTACATACAAATAATGAATCAGAGGAGAAAGAGATCAAAGAATCTATCCCATTAAAAACAGAGTCCAAGAACACCAAGGACCTAGGAATCAACTTGATAAAAGAAGTGGGAGCTCTATATCATAAAAACTTCAAAACATTTAAGAAAAAAATAGAAGACCTTGGAAATGGAAAAATATTTCATGCTTTTGGATTGGAAGGATCAATCTTGTCAAAAATGACCATATTTCCTAAACTACTACATGGATTCAATACAATCCCTATCCAAATTCAGAATGGTCCATAATAAAATTTGTATGGACTCATAAAAACTCTGAATAGCCAAAAACCATTGAAAATTTTAACTGGGAGGTGGGTGGGGGAGGGAGGTATCTCATTACTTACTTGTAACTATAATATAATAATATAAAGGCATAATAATCAAAATAGCATGATACTGGAATAAGAATAGAATCTCTGATCACTGGTCTGAAGAATACCCAAGGACTAACACTCACATATATAGTCAGCTAAATATTTGAAAACGGTGCTGAGAATATAAAATGGAGTAGAAGAGCCTCTTCAAAAAATAGTGATGACAAAAATGGATAACCACGTGTAAAAAATTAAAACTAGATGTGTATCTCACGCCTTATGCAAAACACAATTCAGAGTGGAACAAAGACCTTGAAAAGAGACCAGAATCTATAAAATACATTGAGGAAAATATAGGCAGACATCATTGGGGAGAAGTTCCCAGAACTGAAGAGTGTATGCACCCAAGTCAAGGAGGGCTGAAGTGTACCAGTTAAAAGAAATCTAAATAAAAATACCCCAAGACACACCCTAATCAGAATGACAAAAACCATACACAGAGACAGGATATTGAAAGCACTACCACAGACATCAAATGAGCCCTCCTGGACCATGACAGTGGTGATATGTAGTGAAAAATCTCAATGAAATGAATCCCTCACCAAGAATACTTTACCCAGCAAGGTTTTCTTTCAGATTTGAATGAACAATGCACAACTTCACAGATAAACAACTCAGGAACTTCATACACTCACAACCATTGTTAAAAGAAGAGCTAAAAAAATACTTTAAGAACAGTGATTCCACTGTTCTTCCTGCATTAACATATGCCTCAGAGACCTGGGCCCTACGCAAACAAGATGAGAACGCCATTCAGGTCTCCCAAAGAAGAATAGAAAGAGCTATGCTTGGAATATCACGTTTCACTCAAATGAGAGAACGAATCCGGAGTTCTGACATCCGTCGACGATCAAGGATCAGGGACGCTGTCTCATTTGCCAAGGTGTCGAAAATCAGATGGGCTGGTCACGTAATGAGATTTAAAGACGACCGTTGGACTAGAGCTGTTACTGATTGGATTCCACGGGATGTCAAGAGACCGCGTGGCCGCCCACCTACCAGATGGTCAGACTTCTTTGTCAAGGTCATGAACGATCGGTTTGAGGCCCTCCATGTTCCCGGAGCGAAGAGATGCCATTGGGCTACACTAGCACGCGACAGGGACAAATGGAGACGTTACTGGCGCCTGCTCGAGCAAATCGACGACTAACGGGAAGTTAAGTGATAAGTGATTAAGATAAGACAAGTCCCACAAGATGACACAAATACCCATCACATATAGATGACCCAAATCTTCTTAATTATAAAGGGGTCTGTACATCAGGGAAAACTCGCACGCCTAAATGTAGATATACCTAATGAGGGGCCCACAAATACTTAAAACAACTGCTAACAGACTTGAAAAAAGGCTTTGAAAACACAGTAGTAATTGGAGATTTCAACACTGCTTTGTCGCCTTTGGATAAATCAACCAGATAAAGCTCAGCAAGGAAATACTTTATTTAAAGAAAGAAGTGGAAGAAGGGGAGTTTTTCATTCAGCTTTTCATTCACCAAAAGCTGAATATTCATTCTTCTCCAGTGCACAGGAGACATTTTCCAAGATAGACAACATTCTGGGCGACAAAACATAATTTCCTAAAATTATGAGAATAGAAATTGTATCAGCTATCTTTCAGACCATGAAGCACTGAAAACATAAATGAATCACACACAGAAACAGATAATCAAATTAAATATCTGGAAATTAAACACCTTGCTACTAAACAACTAGTGGCTTGAAGAGGAAATAAAAGAGGAAATCAAAAGACTCCAGGAAACAAATGAGAATGAGGCCACAAGCTACAAGAACTTGTGAGAAGAAGAAAGAGAAGGAGGAGGGGGGGAAAGGGAGAGAGTGGGGGAGGGGGAGGAAGAAGAGGAAGAGGAAAAGGGAGGAGGAGGAAGAAGGAAGAAGGAAGAAGAAGAAGAAGAAGAAGAAGAAGAAGAAGAAGAAGAAGAAGAAGAAGAAGAAGAAGAAGAAGAAGAAGGAAGAGGAGGAGGAGGAGGAGGAGGAGGAGGAGGAAGAAGAAGACGAAGAAGACGAAGAAGAAAAAAGGAGGAAGAGGAGGAGGAGGAGGAGGAGGAGGAGGAGGAGGAGGAGGAGGAGGAAGAGGAAGAAGAAGAAGAAAAGAAATTAAAGATCTTTATTTCCTCTCTCCTCTTACAGGAAGCATGAAGTGCTAGACTGCCAGACTATGAGAACCACAGCCAGCACCAAGGAGGAGGGACAGAAGTGGAGGCTGTGCCCCCTTTTCAATAAAGTTGCTGGTACTGCAAAACAAAATAAAACAAAAAGATTGATATCCCCGATGAACACAGATGCAAAGGTCCTCAACAAAAAACTACCAAATAGAATCCAACAACTCATCAAAAAGATCAGACACCATTACCAAGTAGGACTCATCCCAGTGATGCAAAGATAGTTTAACATTCACAATCAATCAACACAATATGCCATATTGATACAAGAAAAGATTTAAAAAAAAAACATGATCATATTACCAAATGCAGAGAAAGCATCTGACAAGATCCAGCTCTCATTGATGATACAAAACTCTCAATAAAACGGGAGCTGAAGGAACTTTCCTCGGTATAGTCAAAGCCATCTACCACAAGCCCACCTCAAGCATTATTCTCAATGAGGACAAAATAAAGGCGTTCACCTAAAATCAGACACAAGACAGGGTTTGCCACTCTGAAAACCCCTAAGCAATCTAAGACTGGAAGTACTTGCCATAACAGTTAGTCAAGAAAAAGATATCAAGGCCATCTATGAATTTTTATGAGGACACAATAACATATAACTTATTTATAAACACAACCATAAATCATTTTAAACATAGTTTTGAATTATGACTAAGGGCCCTGAATTATAAGAAAAAAGTATCATAAGCATTAGTACATACTGTTAGGTAACTACTGAGTATATAATTGTAAATATTTATTATAAATATACTATTGTTATTAAGAAAATAATAGCTTGGCCATTTTTTCCATCAATGTTTATTGCTACAGAGGAACTAAATTTACCTGGGAAATGGTATGGAGGATCACAAAGAAGTACCATTCCTTTTCCTTCTTTTACTTTGACCTCAGGTCGCTCCTCAGGTGGGAAGGGATCGAGATCTAATTGTTAAAGCAAGAAGGAAAACACATTCACTCTCTGGTCAATAAATAGATTCACTAAAATTAATCTTTCTGCTACTAATTCATTTTGGATATAATACTTCTCAGTTGGTTTGGGAAAGCTGGACTCATTTGAAATACGTAAGTATTTGAAGCATTTCTATTCCAGGGGAAGGACTCCAATGTCACGAAAACAAAGATAAATAGCAAGATAATTGTGGAACATGAAAGCTACCAATCTCTTATTTCTCTTTAAATTCTGTGCTTTCTTTAGTTTTAGTTTTCTTTTTGTTTCCTAAATGCTGAAACTCACATTTATCTAAGTTTATTAATACTCTACTATTTAGTTCTGCATATTTTACTGATGTTTGAGTTCTGTCTTACTTCCTATTTTTACCTTTGATCAGTTTGTTTTTCTTAGTATAATGTATACCACAAAAAAGTTATTACTCAAAATTATTGTCTGAATAAAACTCTTCAAATTTACAATAGTATTGATGCACTACTGGAATGCCATACCTATTCTTAAATACCTAGCTGACATTGATGTTAATAACAATGCTATCATTCTACATGTGAAAATATTATTCTTCCTATTCTTGAAATTTTTTCTCTCATCTCATCTACAAAATTAGAGCATGTTTGACATTTGCCTTGATTTGTTTTTAGAGAGTCTTATTTCCTGTTGTACAGTGGAATCTTTCAATTACATTTCAAGGTTTATGTTTATCATTTAAATTCTCAGTCTCTCATAGGGGCATTGATGAGAAGTTTTGAGCACTTTGGTGATTGTGAGGTAAGGTAGCTGTGTAAAACAAGACCATAAAATGTTAATACTGTTAAAAATAAATTCCTATGGCACATTCAATGTGCCAAACACAGTAATAACACGTGTCACAATGGAGGCCTTACTGGTGCCCACTCGAGCAAATTGATGAACAATGGAAAGACAGTGCTACAGTGTTATAGTGATTTTTAAAATAAAAATTAAAAATAAATACCCAGTTGCTACATCAAATTAATCTTATTGCTCTTTTTCCTGGTTTACTCTTCCTAGTAATCACTACCAAACAGATTCTCTTAAAACTACATTTTAGTCCTATTATCTAGTTGTAACATAATTAAATTCTGATATTTAGAGTCACATACCTGAGTTCAACTCCTCTCGAATATACAATTTATTTCAGTACCAATTCTACTTTTCACAGTGTTTCTCAAAATATTTTTCATTATTGCCCCAAAATGAGAAAAATTTAAATTTAAAATAAATGATTGTTCTTGATTCTTTTAGTTTTGAACTTTCATAACATTGAAAGTTATGAAACTTCACTTTCCCCCCACTAAACTACAATCACCATTTTTATAGTTTTCTCACTTACATCCAAAGCTCAGGGTTGCCTCGGTGCTTCTAACCATCCCATAGCTATTTGATGCTAAACAGTAGTATATTCCAGCATCTTTCTGTTTGTCAGGGTTATTGATAACAAGGTTTCCTCCTACCATACTGTACCGATCACTTGTCAGATCAACATCTCCATTATTCATTCTCCATCTATAGGAAAAACAAATAAATGGCATATCAAAAGTCAGAAGACCTATAATATACCTTCTTATCAGAATTCTAAAATAATGTGCTTATAGCTCCATATGAAGTCAAATAATTAATTAGATGACTTAGAGAGAAAATTTATTTATATTCTATAATCTGTGTCTCTGAGCTCATGATTTATAATTTATTACAAGAATGTAATATAAATGTCTAGATATATGAAATGTTTTCTTATTTTTAAAATGAAGCATTTTAAAATACAAATGTTTCATTGATTTTAGTACCTGAAATGGGTTCTAAACAGATATGCATGTATTATAATTGATAATACCTATGTACTGGCTAGATTAAGAAAAATACAACTATATTATGCAAAATATTAAGGGATCAACCTTAGCAGAAGTAAAGTATAAAATATGAATATCTGATGCAAAATACCAAAGTAATTTTTTACAAAATTAAATTAAATCAGGGTTATATTTTACCAACAACAAAGTTCAACCACAATAGATAGATCATACAATTTGAAAGTGATCAAATATTAACTGGTGATTTTATGACCAAGATACTAATATGCAATTTCAGCTATATTTTAGGAAGTGTGGAAAAAGTAAATTGATTAAAGGGGCTGGAGTGATGGCGCAGCAGGTAGGGCATTTGCCTTGCATGTGGCTGACCCAGGTTCGATTGCCAGCATCCCATGTGATCCCCCGTGCACTGCCAGGAGTGGTTTCTGAGTGCATGAGCCAGGAAGTAACCCCTGTACATTTCCGGGTGTGACCCAAAAAGAAAAAAATGTAAATTGATTAGAAACAGTAATCTAGATGTATTGTGAAATAATTATAAGATTGCATTTAGAAATAGTGGTAGGTAGCCTTGTTACTCATTGCCTCTTTTAAAATAACTAGGACAAAGATATTTGATAATTTTAGATTATCTTTCACTAAGTCAAATGAGAAAATATTTTATTTTTATTCATACAATGTAAGAGAATATTTTAAAGCTTACATAAGGAAACATGCTTTTGCATTTGAAAATCTACCAAATTTCAACCCAATAAGTAAATCCCTCTCCTTACTACTGATTGATATCGACATAATTTCTGCTGACAATATCAAGTTTCTCAGACAATATCAAGTTTCTCAGTACATGACAAGGTAACAGGTTTGGGCAATTCCAACTGCTATAGATTTCTTCCAGTATGTTGACTAAACCAGTATGTTGGGATTGGAGCAATAGATAGCACAGCAGGCAGGGCATTTGCCTTGTACACGGCCAACCTGGGTTCAATTCCTCCATCCCTCTCAGAGAGCCCGGCAAGCTACCAAGAATATTCTGCCTGCACGGCAGAGCCTGGCAAGCTACCCATGGCTTATTCGATACGCCAAAAACAGTAACAACAAGCCTCACAGTGGAGACGTTACTGGTGTCCACTCAAACAAATCGATGAACAATGGGAGGACAATGCTACAGTACTATGTTGAATAAAAATAATTTTTTCTTGTCTTAATTTTGTCTCTGTGGATCCAATTTTTTCTTTAGTTTCATGGAAAGATGTTTTTCTGTATCTGTGTAAATTGCGTTCTCTTATTAACCTGTTTCTCTTTTCTTTTCCTATAAAAGCTTTTTTATAGGAAAAAAAGCTTTTTCCTTTTCCTATAAAAAGCTATCCCTCACTCCAGTCTGAGGCCATGGGTCCCTACAAAACTCAAGTGCTCTGATAGAGTGATCAAGTTCAGCACTGTGAAGATCAAGTGGACCTAGGTTTAGTTTGACAACAGTCTTGCAGTAATGGTGGGACAATAGCATCAATATTGTGCAGCTGCTTGTGGCATACTTTTCCCTTTGTGGGAATGAGAAAATGAGTTGCATGGTGATAGTACTCTATGAAGGTTACTTCCTTCTTGACTCCCCAATTCTCCAACTGATACCATTTAGTGAGCCACCCAGGAGACAAATATCATCATGAATGGCACATATCATAGAACACGTTATGCATATAATATTCTAAGGATGAGAAATTGCATGATTACCAAAGTTACTGTGTATTACCCTGAACATGAAGTAAATTTTGAAAGTGGAATGTGTTCAGGTTCACCAGGCAAGCTCCATCATAAGCTTTACTGGGGGTGGAGGGGAGCGTGTCAAGCAAATGTTCACCACATGCTGCAAAAACCAAGCATCTCGTCTACAGATCATAATTAATGTGTCAGGTCACACTATTCCTTAACATTTTAGTACTCATTGGAAGGAACTGGTAATATATCTGCCAAACAGAGCTTTTCTTTAAAAGAAATTGGTAAGGATATTTCATATGAGGAGCTGGAGAGATATTAGAAGGATTAAGGCATTTGCCTTGGATCTCACCCACCCTGGTTCAAATCCCTAGTATTACCCTCAGGAGTCATCCTAGAGCACAGAGCTATCAATAGGTCCTGAGCAGGGCTGGAAGGGCCTAACCTCCTTCCCCTAGCAGAATATGCCCCCAAAAATGTTTTCGATATGTAGTTCATTTAGTAGTTTTCTGTAAGAAAGTAAAACACATAGAATTAAGAAATTAGAATGGTGGTAACCAAGAACTAGCAAAGAAGAGTAAAGAAGGTGTTGCCGATAAATATGTATAAACTTTGTGAGGTAGAATTTGCTTCTTACTTTCTGAGAGATGGTGGTGTGAGGGACAAACAGCAAAAAAAGAAGCACACGCCATAGAATTATCTGAGAACCTCTTTGCCTTGGTTGTTACTCTTCTAACTTAGACAATGACATGCAAAGATTTCGTGCATGAATGGCAAGGATAGCATATCACTGAATAAGCATGATTGAAATTGCTTTGGAGATGCTATCAACATATGTAGATGGATCCTAGTGGTGCAAAAAAATCACATGTTTTGAATATCATAATTTTTTAAGTACAAAATGAGATTTTCCGAGTCCTAAATAGTCAATTATTTTAGACTCATCTTCCTCTTTCACAAAATTACGAGCTTAGAGCTGGAGAGATAGTACAGCATTTGCCTTGCATGATAGACCTGGGTTCTATCCCTGGCATCCAATATGATTCCTTGAATCCAAAGAAATGATCCCTGAGATCTGAGTCAGAGAAATTCCTCAGTGGAGAGGGAAAAGAAGAAGGAAAGAAGGAAAGAAAAAGAAGATGGAGGCAGAGGAGGAAGAGGAGCAACGGGGGGGGGGGATGAAGAAGATGGGGGGAGGAGAAGGAGGAGAGAAAAAAGAAGAAGAGAAGGAGAAGGAGATAGAGAACAAATAAAAGAAGGAGGAGGAGAGGAAGAGAAGGAGGAGAAGAAAGAAGAAAGAGGAGAAGGAAGAGGAAGAAGAAAGGAAAACACCACCACCACAACAGTAATAAAAAGAAAAATGTTAAAGTATGATCTTGAATTAATGCTCCATTATACTAGCCTTTGGCCATTTCCATTTCCATGTACATAGATTACCATTACGCATAACATACCCCATGAAATGTTTTTAATATTTGTTAACTTCATAAAATAACTTGAATTCCTGTGCATAAAATTAAACAATAAAGATATTTTGGGTCAGAGAGATATAACTGAAGCCAAGGCATGTTTCTTACATGTGTTTGTGGTGACCATGATCCTGGTTCAAAACCCAGACACCATATGCATTCCCCTGAGGGCTGAAAGAGGCCAATTCTGAACACAGGCCAGGAGCACTGCTAAAGGAGTTTTAATGCTGCTGGATATAACTCTTGAGCTCTGCTGGGTGTAGTCAAAAAAAATCTAAAAAGCTTTGTGACCATAAAAATTTTCTAAGGAGAGGTATTTTGTATTTAAATTCATATTTTTAAGGATTATTTTAAAAATATGGCCAAAGACAAGAGAAAATGAACTCAATAATGATTAAATGAAGAGAAAGGATAATCTCTCTGATAACTTCTTTAAATAACAGAAAGTTATTTTCTTTCCAAAACAAAAATCTACTATTAAAATCAGCCCTGTTGAATGACAACATTCAATTTAGGCAGGCGAGATCAGAGCAGTGGCCCCAAGTTTTTCAGCAATCAATCACTTGCTTTATCTTCATGGAACATTTTCCAAAGTAAAATTCAAATCCATTGAACTTTGGTTAAACTTTTTAAAAAAATTATATTTTCATAAGATTATTCACATTGATTACACTCAATATTTCTACACCAATTCCACCACCATTACAACTTCCCACCACCATTATTTCAAATTTCCCCACCACCATTCAAGCCTGCCTGCCAGTGGCAGCACTGTAGCACTGTTGTCCCGTTGTTCATCCATTTGCTTGAGCGGGCACCAGTAACATCTCCATTGTGAGATTTGTTGTTACTTTTTTGGCATATCGAATATGCCTTGGGGACCTTGCCAGGCTCTGCCGTGCAGGCAGGATACTCTCGGTAGCTTGGCTGGCTCTCCAAGAGGAAAGGAGGAATTGAACCCAGATCGGCCGCATACAAGGCAAAGGCCCAACCCGCTGTGCTATTGCTCCAGCAGATGCTAGATAAATTATTTTCTATTGCTTATTATGCATACTCTCGGTAGCTTGCCCGGCTCTCCAAGAGGGGCGGAGGAATCGAACTCGGGTCGGCCATGTTGGCTGTATGCAAGGCAGACGCCCTACCCGCTCATATCATGAGAGGTCCTGGAATTCTAAAATTGTAAATGGTTGGGGTCCAGAGACATCTCGGTAGGGAGCCAATCTATTTTGAGATTCATTTGGAGTCTTCTGGATCAAGACCATTGATGCCCTGAGATGGCGCCCAGTGGCAATAGGTGGGTGTGACATCCAGGACCCCAAGTGGGTGGGGAGACAGAAAGGGCCGGCCCATCTTCACTGCCTCCATGTGCCCTGAAGTCTTAGTCCTTAGTACCTGGGTTTTTCTTCTGGAAGCTTGTAGCCACCAGGCTTTCATCTGGATTGATTGGAGAGGGCACACCTGCTCCAACTGAAGTGCCCCAGGGGAACTGACTCACTATGGGGTCCAGAGAGTTCTCCAACAAGCTGCTGCCTTTCAGTATTCACTACTGATGCCTTGGTTAAACTTTTAATCTTGCAATTTGCATCAGATGAGAAATTCTGGTATACTTTTCTGAACTTTTTTTTAAAACAGAAAAAGCCATGGTACAGGCACCCCCCAGCCCCAAATCAGAAAACAGATATTTATGAATATTGCTAAATAAGTACAAATATTGAATAAATGTATGTAATGGGCTGAAGAGAGCATATAGCAAGAAGGATATCTGCTGCCAATCCAGGTTTAATCCTGGCACCATAAACCCACTCTGCCTAAAGCACTGCCACAATCATATTCAACTATACTCAGGAATTACTCCTGGTTCTGTGCACAGGGATCACTCCTGGAGTTTCTGGGGGACCATATGCAGTACAAGGAAAGACCAGGGGTTGATCATATGCAAGGTGAGAGAATGTACCCTGTACTATTTATTTGATTCCTCTATAAGTCAAGTTTTGTTTCTTTGGGGTTTTGTTTGTTTTTGTTTTGTTTTGTTTTTCTGGTATTTTTTTTTTTTTGCTTTTTGGGTCACACCCAGCAATGCACAGGGTTTACTCCTGGCTCATGCATTCAGAAATTACCCCTGGTGGTGCTCAGGGCACTATATGGGTATATGGGATGCTGTAAACCAAACCCAGGTCAGCTGCGTGCAAGGCAAATGCCCTACCAGCTGTGCTAATGCTCCAGCCCCTATACGTCAAGTTTTAAGTGAACAATGCCAAATGCATTGACATAATCGATGTTAAATTGGCATTACCTGTGCAATAAAAATGAATTATTTGCATATTGAAAAAATTACTATTTGAATTATTGGAGTTTCTAGCAGGGTGGGTTGAGTTTCCCTCCCCGCCCCGAGCAGAGCCCCGGCAGCTGAAGACCTCCGGTTCCAGCCACAGCCATGCTGAGATCACTCTCCACATGTTTGGACGAGCCTCACACATGAAGGAACAGACAGAGGAACCCAGGTGCGTGGGACCCGGGGCTGAGATCTCCAAGCCTGCTTGGATCAGGACTGGGCCTCCTCCCCCCCAGATCCCCCATCATCCAGTAGGTAGGCGTTATACCCACCAACTGCCCCCGGCGCCATGTAATCCTATCAACGGCCAAGTCCCAGAGACTATAAAACCCAGCTCCCCGAAGCAAATGTGCCCGTGCAACATCTTATTATCTAGTTCTTACTCTGGAGAACCTGGCATGCTACCAAAAGTATCCTGCCACACGGCAGAGTCTGGCAAACTCCCCATGGTATATTCAATATGCCAAAAAACAGTAACAATGATGGGTCTCATTCTCCTGACCTCGAAAGAGCCTCGAATGTGGCACTTTCTAAAATCTCAGGGCTAGGACATAGGAGACATTACTGGTGCCTGCTCGAGGAAATCGATGAACAACAGGATGACAGTGATACACTGATTTGTGTTATTAAGTAATTAATTTTTAATAACTCATATGTTGATATTTTATGAAGTTCTCAGACTAACAAGAAACTTTATATTATTGCCTTGACCATCAGCAAATTTTCATAATGCTATCTGTAATTTTTAGTCTGATTTGTTATTCTATTTTTGATTTTGTTTGCTTTTTGGGTGACACCTATTGGTGCTCAGTCAACCATATGGTTCTGGGAATAAAGCATGGGACTCCCTCGTGCAAACTATGCACTGAATCGCTTTCAACCTTCTCCCCACCTCTGGCACTGAATCGCTTTCAACTTTCTCCCCACCTCTGACACTGAATCGCTTTCAACCTTCTCCCCACCTCTGGTAATCCACTTTAAAAAGAGCAGTGAGGTACATTACTTGTAAACTGGGAAAGGGCTGGCTCGTGCCCTACAATTTAATGAAACCTTTCCTTCCGGGGACTCTTCTGGATAGATGGTATTGATAGGCTGTTCCTCAAAAATTGGTCCAAATCCTTTGTCTTCCTCAGAAACTATAAGAAAAGAAATATTATTTTATACCATTTTAAAAGTGAGAGAAATTTTGAATACTTTAAAAGTCATAAATAACACTCTCCATTTCCATTAGCAGCATTTACCTGTCTCATTTTGAGCAAAACATAAAGTTCTTTATTCAAAATGGCTTTATTTTTCATCACCTCTCTTAAAAGCATCTTGTGTTACCATGCTTAACCATTCGAAAATCCTCAAACAAGTCTTATTTCCATGACTCTGACACTTTCCATGCATTTATTTATAATCACCACTTAATTATCTAGCCCTATTAAAGTACTTTGTGATTTATCTATAGTTATGTCCTTCATCTGTTTCAGTTGATCCATACTATGTTTTATTTTTTAACAAGTTTTATTGGATCAGTGTGAGATACAGTTACAAACTTCCATGATTGCGTTTCATTCAAACAATGCTCTAGCACCCATACCTCCACCAGTGCACATTTTCCACCACCGATGTTCCCACCCACCACCCCCACCCTGCCCCATTCCCTGCCTCTGTGGCAGGTACAGTTCTTCTTACTCTCTCTGTCTCTCTCTGTCTCTCTGTCTCTCTCTGTCTCTCTCTGTCTCTCTCTGTCTCTGTCTCTCTCTCTCTCTCTTCATTTGGGGTGTTATGATTTGCAATACAGATATTAAGAAGTCATTATTTTTGGTCCTTGTTCTACTTTTCAGCACATATCCCAAACTGGGTGATCCCTATAATCATCATTTACTTAGTGGTTCCCTCTCTGTCTTAACAGCCTTTTCCTCCATCATGTGGGACCAGCTTCCAAACCATGGTGTAAGCCTCCTGCCCTTATCTCTACTGTCCTTAGGTGTTAGTCTCATATTATGCTATTTTACATTCCACAAATGGATGCAGTCATTCTATGTCTGTACTTCTCTTTCTGACTAATTTCACTTAACATGATACTCTCCATGTCCATCCACTTATATGCAAATTTCGTGATTTAATCTCTTCTAACAGCTGCAGAGCATTTTACTTTGTAGATGTACCAGGGTTTCTTCAACCAGTCATCTGTTCTCAGGTACTCGGGTTTTTTTTCCAGATACTGTCTATGGTAAACTGTGCTGCAATAAACATACAAGTGCAGATATCATTTCTACTATATATATTTTTTGCATCTCTGGGATATGTTCCCAGGAGTGGTATTGCTGGGTCATCTGTAAGCTCAATTTCTAGTTTTTGGAGGAATGTTCATATTGTTTTCCAAAAAGACTGGACCAATTGGCATTCCCACCAACAACAATGAGAGTCCCTTTCTCCCCGCATTCGCACCAGAACTACTTCTTCTTGTTCTTATTAATGTCTGCCAGTCTCTGTGGTGTGAGATGATAGGTCATTGTTGTTTTGATTTGCATCTCCCTGATGATTAGCAACGTAGAGCACTTTTTCCTGTGCCTTTAAGTCATTTGAATTCTTTTTTGAGGAAGTTTCTGTTCATTTCTTCTCCCCATTTTTTGATGGGATTGGAGGTTTTTCTTGTACAATTCTACCAGTATCTTATATATCCTGGATATTAAGCCCCTATCGATGGGTATTAGGTAAATATTTTTCCCATTCTGTAGGCTCTCTCTGTATTTTGGTCACTGCTTCTTTTGAGGTGCAGAAGCTTCTTAGTTTAATGTAGTCCCAATTATTTATATTTGTTTACACTTGCTTGGTCAGTGGTGTTTCATCCTTAAAGATGCCTTTTGCTTCAATGTCATGGAGGGTTATGCCTACATTTTTCTCCATGTGCCTTATGAATTCAGGTCTAATATTGAGGTCTTTAACCCATTTTGATCTGGCTTTTGTGCTTGGCATTAGACAGAGAGGTCTGAGTTCATGTAGCTTTCGCATGCAGCTGCCCAGCTTTCCCAGCACCACTTGTTGAAGAGCATACTATGTTGTTTTAATTCTCTTCATAGCATCAATTTTCTGTGATCTCTTATGAAATGTGAGAAATCAATCCCAGATTCTTGCAAACTTACATTCTTTGAACTATCTCTTTGGTTCTTAATGATTTTTTAATTAAAAAGGATGAATTTTAGATTTTTCCTGAGAAAGCTAAACTTTTGCTTAGCAAGTTTTAATTATTTTCTGTACATTGATGACCATTAGTAATAAGCAATAGCCAGAATAATTAGTTGGCAAATTATATGAATAAGGGATCTTATAACATGGCCAAAAAGCCATTTAAAAAGATATCATTGAGAAAAGTGGGATTTCTGGAAATTAAAAAAAATGAGGCCATGAAAAATCAGTAATCATACAGCATAGCACAACTCATAATGAGGAAAGCTTATAGCAATAGTCAATTTAACTTTATATATTAAGAAACTATTAAAAGATGAGGCCATTTGTCTACATGGCTGGAGGCGAGTCTCAGGCAACCACAAGCTAACATCGGAGCTCACAAAGCAGTGTAGAGAAGTGATAAAGGAACACCTCAAAGAGAGAAGAGCAGCAATGCTGGCCAATGCAGCAGAAGCCAGGAAAAGCATCCGCAATGCCTGCTTGTCCTTCATCAACTACAAGACCAAGATGACTGCCCTCCAACGTCCTGATGGATCTATCACATCTTGCAGAAGGGCAATGGAGATTATCCATGACTTCTACTTGGATCTCTTCGAAAGCCACGTCCACCTGCCCACATACCAAATTCCACTAGATGGATATGACGTCCCCAACGTTCTCCCTTTTGAAATCTGACACACCATTTCGTCAGTAAAGAAGCAAACAGCACCCAGCCCAGACAAGGTTAGACCCGAACACCTGAAGAATCTGCCGTCAGTACTCATCAATCACTGGCTTGGCTCTTCAGACACAATACCTGTCTGAATGCAAGGTTCCATCCCATGGAAAACCAGCAGGACTGTACTAGAGTACAAGAAGGGAGACATCCATGACATTAGCAATTATCGCTCAATCTGTCTGTAGTCTGTCGTCTACAAGCTGTTCACTGAAGTAATCCTGAATATGATTGGCATAACACTAGATGAAGGACTACCATGCGAGCAAGCTGGGTTCTGAAAAGGATTCAGCACCATCGACCATATCCACACGATAACCAAGCTCATTTAGGTTTCTCGGGAGTTTAAGATGCTGCTCTGTCTAACATTCATTGATTTAAAGAAGGCCTTTGATTCTGTTGAGACTGAAGCAGTCATCGAAGCCCTAACCAAACAGGGCATTCAAACTCAGTACCTCAGGATCCTCCGTGAGCTATATTATGGATTCACTACCAGGATCTCACCATTTTACAAGGAAGTGATCATCGATGTCAAGAGAAGGTTTCAGCAGGGTGAAGACATTTCACCAAAACTCTTCAGTGCCACCCTCAAGAATGTCATGCGATGACTGGAATGAGATGGAATGGGAGTGAAGATAGACAGTTGGCAGCTACACCACCTCCGCTTTGCTGATGACATCGTTCTAATAACACCAAACATTAGCAAAGCGGCACAAATGCTGGCCAACTTCGACCATGAGTGTGGAATGGTCAGACTGCAGCTGAATCTCATGAAGACAATGTTCATGAGAAATGGACTCATTTTTGATGTTCCATTCACTCTCTATGAAACAAACATCTCCAAATGCAGAAACAAACATCTCCGAATGCAGCAGTTATGTGTACTGAGGTTGAGAACTCAACATGACGATTGACCTGACACCTGAGTTGCGGAGGAGGAAGAGAGCAGCATGAAATTCCTTCAAAAGCATCGAAGAAATAGCTAAGAGGACGAAGAGCCTCCGGCTCCAGTCATATCTCTTCAACTCCACTGTTCTTCCTGCATTAACATATGCCTCAGGGACCTGGTTCCTATGAAAACAGGATGAGAATGCTATTTGGGTCTTCAAAGAGGAACCGAAAGAGCCATGCTTGGAGCATCACACTTCACTCAAGTGAGAAAAGGAATCCGGAGTTCTGACCTTCGTGGATGATCGAGAATCAGGGACACTGTCTCATTTGTCAGGGCATCAAAAATCAGATAGGCTGGACATGTCATTCAATTTGGAGACAACTGTTGGACTAGAACTGTTACCGACTGGATTCCACATGAAGTCAAAAGATCGTGTGACTGCCCACCTACGAGATGGTCAGACTTCTTGGTCAAGACCCTAAACAAATGGTTTGACATCCTTCATGTTTCTGGAGGGACAGACGCCATTGGGCTACACTAGCATGCGATACGGATGAATGGAGACATTACTGGCACCCACTCAAGCAAATTGATGAGTAATGGGATGTCAACTGATCAAGTATTATTAAGAAACTACGAAAATATAAGGCCAGGAGATAGTAAAACACTTAAGGCACATAGTTAACACATGCCTGCATTGGGATAGATACCTGTCATCAGATGATTCCCTGAGCATTGGCAGGAATAAACTGAGAGACCTGAGTAAATATCACAGAAGTACAAAATATCACAAGATTACTATACACAACTTTATTCTACCTTTTGAAGTGAAAACAAATGAATAAATTGTTGGAATAAACCAATTTCCCCAGACTGTTAATCAAGAGGAAATAAAAAACATGAATAATTACTAATAAAAAAATTGAATATGGGGGTACGGAGACACCAGAAGGTCAACCTGTACGTGCGGGGCAAGTGCATCAGCAACCTGATGGTGTCCTCAGGCTTCTTGATACCCCAAAATTGCCACTATGCCTTTAGCCAGACCCAAATAACTTGGGACCAAGTTTACCAAGAAATTAAATGGCCAAAAGTTAGGTGTGTGGGAGCTATGCCCACAAACAAACTACTGCTCAGCTCATTTATTGACCTTATTTCAGAACCCATAAATAAATCTCAAAAGAGATCAAAAGTCACAATCAATCTTGGACCTACGCATGGCTAAACAGACTGAGATAAATCAGAGGTGGCAGAGGGTGGGGGGGCGGTGTTGGCCTGATACCCACCAAAGCAGAGCCTCATCACCATACCCTGAGCCTGACTCCACCTAATAATCTCAGGACAGACTC